ATGTGAGCCTAAGGGAGCCAGATATGCCTAGGCCTGTTTTGAAAGTGCTTTTCTTTAAGTGACTTCTGCCCCAATTACAGAGAAGGTTCCAAGCAGCTGGATTGTTACTCTGTACAGCTGGAAAATGGACATATATCCAAGTTATTTGCACTTTGGAGGGGCTAAAAGTGATTCCTACTTTTCAATTCCTACTAAATATTATTAGGTTGGCCACACAAACTTGTTTCTCTTACACTGCAGATTTTTTTTTATGATGACAAAGTAGCTGACATGAATGAAAGGTCATGACTTTATTGAATCCACTCTCTTCAGTGGTATTGTTCCTGCAGGTACAGTATGTAATATGTGAAATGTGATAGTCATGGTCTTCTGGATGTTCCATGCATTTATAAACTGCTCTTAAGAAAATCCAGAGTAAGGAAACTTGAATGGTCTAGCATTTCGACTACACCATGCCACTTCTCCTTCTATGTGGCTTTTCCAAAAATTAACTGAATTTCACAGTCTGTTCATTTTTATATAATTCAGAAACCAATAAATTAATTTGTAGATTGCCAAATCTGCTGATGCTTTTTATTTTCCCTTCTATTTCTTGGCATTTTGTTTATTTCATTTGTGATTTTTTTTTTCCTGATTAGAACAGGCAGGATCAAATAAAAATAAAACTCAAATCCAGCAGTTCTTCCTAGTGATTCCTAAAGACAACTTAACCTGTTAACCGGGGAGTTCCCTTTTTAATTACGCAACGTACAATGGGCGCATACTCTTTCATTAGGACGTGTCAGTATGTCACGCCCAGTGGACGTAATTTTGTATTATTATTATTTTTTATTTATACTTAATTAAAATAAATGAAATATATATTTTTTTGTTTATTTATATATAAAGCACAAAGGAAAATACAAAATTACAAACAAATAGAAAAGAATACCAACGAAAAAATGGAAACATCGAATTAAAAAATTATAAATTTTGCAAACAATTATAAAGATTACAAAAAATATATACCGTCCCTCTCAGGGTGCAACATATATTTCAAAGATATATTCATACGTCCTACCCGTTCCCAATATTGTTTACGTTTGTCGTATTTATAGGTCCCGCTCGGTTAACAGGTAACGTTGTATATTTGATATTTTTGGGAAAAAGCTTTTTTTTCTCTTTTTTCTTTTTCTCTCTCTTCTTGACACAAAAAGCCCTAAATTGGTTTTATCTTTGTTTGGGGGAAGGGAGAGTGTCAAAATAGATCAACTTATTAGATCAAGGAGTAAAGATGTTCCCTTGCCAAAATTAAAGCCTGGTTATTGGGAAAGAGACTGTGGTTTTGCCAATTCCCTCTCACACATTGATTTGCCGCTGACTGCTGGGATGCTGCAGGCAGTGATCTGCATGAATGACAGTAGGCAAGGAAGGAGAAATAGAAATGAGAAAACATAACACTCAAGAAAGCAAGAATAATTGAAATGAAAACTCCCCCATTGCAAGGAGTGCAATCTATGGAGAGACATCCACAAATGCACTTATATCCCTTCTGCTATATCCAGGCCCATGGAAGAACCATACTGATGAATATCTGTGGGGAGATTTCCAATGCCACCAAAAATTCCTTTCCTTTCTTCCTTCTCTCCAGTTGCTCCACCAGCAGCATACGAGTTTTTCCACTCAGAAAACACCTTTCCTCACGGTGCTTATGGACAAAGGGGTGCTAAAGGGAGGTTCAGCAGATATGCAGCTTCTACTGTCCCTACTTGGAGAACAGGAGGTCGGAGACCAGCATCCAATCTGACATTCAATTCCTCAACCACACTGCCAATTTGTTTAGGCTACATTTCCAGATGTAATAGCACCACCAGGTTTCCTTATTCTACTTCTCAGGTTTTGGAAATTCTTCCTCCATAATTCCTAGGTAGTTGCAGCAAGCATTTGAAGAGACATCACGGACATCAATTCAAATATTCAAAAGGCAACAGATGGGCAGCAGGTCCATCACCTGTGATGGTGGGGGAGTCACCATCATCAATTTCTGCTTCACCAGACTCTTCCCTTTTTTCTCCCCTGGTAAGCTGCCTCTTCTTGGGTTAAAAGCCATAGCGCACACCTCCTTCTAACCTGATTTTTGACACCTCACAGGCCTGAGGTTTTTTTTTTGTTTGTTTGTTTGTTTGTTTTTACCTAAGATAGTTATGTCATGCTCTGGTATAATATATGATATACTTGTGTGCTGGAGGGATGATGCCAGTTCCTCATGCAAGAATGTGAACTGCTATCAACTGTGCCCTGATGTAATGAATCTTGGCTAGAAGAGAAGATGATGTTCTCAAGCTAAGATTTCCCGGAGTCTGACTTAACCGATGTGAGTGTCTGGTTAAGCAGAATAGCAGTACCGGCCACTCTCCCGCTTGTTTGGGGAGGGCTGTGCTTAGAATAGCCACTTAAGTCCTGCTTGCCTGAAATGCTCAAGCTCTAGTGGTACCTCAACTATTTCCTCTCCAGAAGAAGTTTAGAGACACCTGGTGTGTGTAAACACAATCTCAACTGCATTTTAGAGGGAACATTTTAAGACCTGCAGGTTGTTTTAGATGGCCTACCTTGAACAACTCTTGTGGACCTTGACTGATGATCAACTTAAGTTAGAAATAAAGGTGATGTCAACAGTGTGGCATGTGTGAGGATTGAGGAGGGGGTATCCGGATACACACCATAGCATTCAAACTGGGTGAAAATGATGGCAATACTGCCCTGGTGTCTTAATATACTAACATATTGCCTTTGATTAATCTTACAAAATCACTGTCTCCCCAACATCGGCAGGCAAACTTTGCTCTTTAGAAAGAGGTATTTTACCGCCAATTTCTACTCTATCCTTGAGGATAAAACCCACCTCAAACTGCATTTGTCTAACTTTCAAATTAAATGTTCCCACTCATTATTTCTCCCCAATGATTCCCTGAGAGCATGTCCCTGCTGGGTTATGTGGCCAAAGTGACAGTCCTTATCTTCAGTGATTTTCATAGGAGACCATGCTTCAAGACTTCAAGTGGATGATGGCGACTCCACTGAAGGCCACTGGCAGCTGTCTCCCATCGGGTCTCTAAGGACACACATGTTCCAAACATATGTGGGGCTTACTGAACCCAAAGCTGATTCTCAAGGTATAGGCAAAACAGGCACTTTTTTTTTTTTTTTTTTTTTTTTTTTACGATAATACCAAAAGGCATGTCACAGAGCCCAGGAGGGCTGTAAGCGGAATTTGTTTTCAATTGATGAATTCCTTAGGTTTTCTTCATAGTTCAGTGAGAAAGAAGAAACAATATAAGAAAACAGTCTAGTCTAAAAAGCTTCTTGCTCACAAGTAACTTCTTTTAGTTATGTAAGTTTCTTACCAGCTTTCCTATTTTGCTTGCCTCATCCTTTTTTTTGAACTGGAAAACACAACCACCCAACTATGCTACCATATTCCTTTCTTTTGAAAAGGTGGTTAGCACCTGCATGAATATGGCTTCAGAGACTTGATTGGATCCTGACTGTGCATTCCTGATTCCCAAGACGAGCATTATAGTAGGTCTGGTGCCACTTCAATAAGCTGGATCTATTATGGGTCCCTGAGGGGGTTGATACCTGCCAGGCATGTCCCGGGTAAACATTCAGCCACCTGGAAGTTGAGAGGTTCTGGGAAGATCATGGGACAATCCACACCACAGCTGGATTGGGAAAGGTTTTAAGGTTGTTGCTCCACCATTTGGAGGAGAAAGCTTTCACCTCTCTCCCCTCAAGGCCCAAACCTGATAGTCTTTGATCCTATTATCAATTCACCCTCAGTCCCCTCTTTTCTCTACTCACAAGGTAGATTCCTCTCTCTTGTGACTCAAGGGGCAGTGGTCATGTCGGTTCCCAGGGTCTGAAAAAGCTGCACATACATGATGTTCCATTAATGTGAACACCTTCTTTGCATTTGCGTGTAAAGAACTTTTCTGAACTTAATTTTTCAGACGCCAAAGACCTCTGTCACATGCCAGTCCATCAAGCGTCAAGGTCAGAACAAAGGTCCAAGTAACGTTTGCAGTCCTGTCTGGAAACTGCCTCCTGGGGTTGGTGGGATCTGACTGCACACAGTCTGAGAACAAGATGTAGAGTTCAGGTGCACATCAACAAGACATTGCCCATTCACGAATGTTCTGAAATGTGAAATATGCTCTGTTACTGGGTCACTTGTCCAAGCAACTGCTTTGACCCCAAGTGTCTCCCTGCTCAGGTATCACTGTTTCTTCCAGAATTTGGGATGGAGACTTCCTGCTGGTCCAGGATACCACAATTAATTGCTTAATGGCTGATGTCAACTCCCAGTATCATAATGTGTTCTCCAGGTTTATGAAGTTTATGTATAATCCCATTTCCACCATGTGTAATCCCATTTCCGCTCCTTACCATAACATGAACAACAATAAGATAACCATTTCTCTCCTCTTAGAAATACATAGTCTTGGACCTCTTTAAAAATAGTTTGGGCAAATGTCAACATTTTTGGCGAGAAAGAGACTTCAGGATCTTGATGCAATGGGATCAAAATTAAGGTCAATAGTCAAACCAGCAGTGTGTAAAGGCTTGAACTCTCTCAAGGCAACTGTTGTCTGATCCCTCTCTTCTTTGGTCACAAATTTACATATATCAAGAGTGGGTCAGAAAGCCTAAAATCTTTGCTTTTAAAAATTTTTGGAAAATCTTGGGGATTTCTTCTAATCTTATAACAAAGTTGACTTTGGACCTTTGCGGAAATAATCATCAAATACTCCTGCAATGTTCCCTTACACAGCTTGTCATTGGTTCTGTGGCTTAACCAGGGACTTCTTTGGGAAGGCACGAGTTCTCACTGCAGTTGACCTCATAAAGCCATAAGCAAAAGCAATATTTAGTAACATGTCTTTCAAGAACTTCCTGCAGCGCTGGTGTTGCAAAGGATAAGCAAGGTACTCAGTCTTGCTATAACCTTCAGTGTCTCTTTTTTAGTTGGTGGTCACACTGGCTTCCTTTTGACGCAGTCTTTCTTTCTGTTGTTTAAGAAAAAAAACAACAACAAGTTTATTATCATTCCTTTTCTAATTTTTCAACTTCCCCAAATTTTGATAAATTTCTAAAATTTTGGTCTAGAATTCTAGAGTTGTACTACATGCCCTAGAGTGTTTCAGTTACCAGCCCCTTCCAACCTATCACCCTTGCTCTCCAACAAACCAACATAATAATAACCAGCTAGTAAACCAAGTATATCCATCTGAAACACTGACCATTACTATTCCAGGTTGTTCTGTGACAAAAGTCCTAGTTTTGTAGTGTTACTCAATGGGTCCTTCCTTCCCTAACCATGGCCCACTAATGGAATTATGGAATGCTCAAGAAATAGTTTCTAGGGGATCTAAATACGAAAAGTCAAACTGGAAGATGATCAGATGTGGTCTACACAGAATGGCAGGAGCTCTCGTTCGCCATAGATGTTCTGCTCTGTTTTCCCTGAGCTTCCCTCCCAGGGACAAATTCCTCATGGGAAAGAAGTCTGCTGGCAGGATGTAAACACAAACAAGAACACAAAACAGAAACACAGGCCCTCACTGTGTCTAGGGCTTTAGAGAAGTAAATATAATAAGCACAGTGATGGGTGTGTCTGCTTTTAGGGGTGGGAGAATAGAAGGCTAAAGGAGAAACAGGAGAAGTACATTCCTTCAGGAAGAGCAGAGGCAGAGAGAAGCCCTTTGAGAGTGGATCCTCAGCTGCTTGTGATCAGGGGATACGATGTTACAATGAATTATTATATTGGTCTAGATGTAAATGCATGTTGATGACTTTAAACAGCCATCCCTAGTTTAGATCCCATCCCTGTCTTATAAAATTAAATCAGGAATCAGTTTTCAAGTTCTTCCGTAATTTCTACCAAAATAAACAACAAAACAAACAACCCTAACAAGTTGAGGATCACAATTGGGAGCTTGCTCATAGTGGAGGTCACCTACAAAAGAATAGCAGTGAGTCTCTTTTGTCTAAAGCAGATATTTTCAGCCCTTTTCACCTCATGGCATACATAAATTAATTACTAAAATTCTTCAGCACACCAAAAAATATATTATCTTTTTTGCCAACCTGACGATGACAACAACAACAAAAAAGGGTATAATTTTGATTCATTCACACTGGATGGCTATTGTTGTGTTGGCTGTTGCATTTTTTAAAATCTGGCAATCTGAAGGAAACAAGGTCAGCACCTCTGAGTAAACAGTCAGGTATTGTATGTTTTAAAAATTCTTGTGGTACACTGGTTGGAAATTACTGGTCTGTTGAGCTATGTCCATTCTCTTTGCCCCTGGATATGGGTTTGGCTATAAAAGTTAGGACAGAAATCCAAATAAGAGGCCTGGGGGAAGGGGAAGAGGCCGATGAAGACAGAATGTAAAAATCAGGGATGAGCCCACTGTCACTGAAACCCTACAAGTGAGTGTAATGAACAGGGTGTCAATGGGCATGGAGGATATGTTGGCTCAGGTAGGGGCTCTGTGCACTAACCACTGCCTTTGATGGCTAAGCTGTGTGGCCCTGGCTTCTCTATTTCTCACTCATGAACTTCACTCAACATTTCATTTAGCTGCTGATGGGGTTACGAGAGACATCACAGTCAATCAACAGAAATAATCTCACTTTATAACTTATCTTCCACTTGGATTGTCACAGCAGTTGAAGCAGCTGGCAAAAAGTACTTGTGACACAAAAGGATTATACCAAGTAGCTGTAGGAGGTCAGGGCACAGGGAAGGGAGGGTCTGAAAATCAAAGTGAGGAGAGTGATACTCCTCCTTTCCACTCACTGCTGTTCCCCATTGCAGTGCCAACCTATGTTGCCAAAATTCATAACAAGGAAAAGAACTAACACTTACTGAGCTCTTATTATGTACTAAGCACTTTACATGTCTCTTCCTACCTTCCTCAAAATAACCCTAAAGCAAAGATAAAATTATTTCCCTCTTTTCACAAAAGAGGAAGAAAAAAAAAAAGAACTTCTCTTAGGTTTTACAACTAGTAAGTGGCTGAGATAGGATTTGAACCCTGACACCTTGGGTTCATAACCATTTAGCTATTCCAACTATTGTCTGTGACAAACAGGTGGAGATTCCATTGTGATCCACCCTGGAAACATGACCTAGGGGGACAACTTGCCCCCACAGGTAGGAAGCCGGACCAGACTGCTGGTTTCTAGGACAGGGAGGGACTTCTAGGGCTCAGGTCCTGGCTTTTGTTATCCATCTGTGAAGTGGTACAGATAGGCTGTATATTTTCTGCATCTCAGTTTTTCTATTGATCAAAAGAGGATAAGCCTGCCCCTTTCTTTACTGGGGAAAGAAATTGATGAGAGTGAAATGCTTAAACATTTTAGGAGAAAGGTGCTTTGAGATGAGGAGGATCATGGCATGTGGGGGAAGGGCAGTGGAAGGGTATAAAATGACAAGTGACTCATTTTGGTTTATTAGAAAATGACCTTTGTTGAGTTTGGTGGCAAATGCATGAAGTTGTTTTGTTCCTCACTCCCTCCTCATATATATATATATATATATATATATATATATATATATATATATATATATATGGTCCAGTGCACGAAATTCATGCACTGAGTGGGAGGGAGTGTCCCTCAGCCCAACCTGCACCCTATCCAATCTGGGACCCCTTGAGGGATGTCCAACTGCCTGTTTAGTCCCAATCCCAGTGGGCAGACGGACATCCCTCTCACAATCCAGGACTGCTGGCTCCCAACTGCTCACCTGCCTGCCTTCCTGATTGCCCCTAAGTGCTTCTGCCTGCCAGCCTGATCACTCCCTAACCACTCCCATGCCAGCCTGATTAATGTCTAACTGCTCCCCTGCCAGCTTGTTTGCCCCCAACTTCCCTCCTCTGCCGGCCTGGTCACCTCTAACTGCCGTCCCCTGCAGGGTTGATTGCTGTCAACTGCCCTCCCTTGCATACCCGGTCCTTCTCAACTACTCTCCCTTGCAGGCCTGGTCCCTCCCAACTGCCCTCCCCTGCTGGCCATCTTGTGGTGGCCCTCTTGGGGCAAGGTCTTTAATCACATGGGGGCAGCCATCTTGTATGTTGGAGTGATGGTCAATCTGCATATTACTCATTTTATTAGAGGCCTAGTGCATGGGTGGGGGCCAGCTGAAGGGTATCCCTGATCAGGGTGGGGATTCCCTTGGGGTGGGAGGTGGCCTGGGTGAGGGGCCTGTGGTGGTTTGCAAGCCAACCATACCCCCCAGCGACCCAAGCCTAGAGCGGAGCCAAGCCCCCTGCTTGCTCTGTGACTGCCACCATTTCTATTTGGATTTGTTTACCCTCTATAATTAAAACTTTGTAGCCTGGAGTGGAGTTCTAGGCTGGCCAGGGCTGTAGAAGCTTGGCATTCTTTATTGCCTGGGAAACCCAAGTCTCTTGCCTGCTCTCTGTGGCTATAGCCATCTTGGTTGGGGTTAATTTGCATACTCTCTCTGATTGGCTGGTGGGTATAGCGGAGTGAGGTTAATTTGCATATTACTCTTTTATTAGGTAGGATGTATATGTATATGTATATATACATATATATTTGTGTGTATATATATGTGTTTATATATATGCATATGTATACATACATTTAATCTATATACTACTCTGGGATGGGAACTGAGAACCTGGATACTAGCTGCCATTTCCCTGAGTTTTGTCCTTTAAATTCAGACACACTCCTGGGCATACATCCGTTACAATGAAAAATCTTAAGTTTATGCTGAAAAATGTATCTCACCAGACTGGCGGTAGGATTGATTTTCTTTGTCTCCACTTTCTTCTCTGATGTCAACTTGCTGACTGATTCCTGAGCCATTTTCAATCTGAAATTAAAATCGAGTGGGGAGGGAAGAGGAGAAAAAAGAAGGAAGGAAATAAAGAAAAGAAGAAATAGGAAGAGGTCAAATTAAACAGAAATCCAAATGATGTTGAGTTAATTAACAGTTTAGAAATATAAGGAATAATTTCAATGCTTTTCATTATTAAGTTCAAACTCAAATTAGGTATCAAGGTATATCTTCTCTATTATCAAAGGTGAACTACCTTGCCTGGGTAAGGGACTCACCTAGATGACTTTGGAAAGTCTGTGCTTTTGTATCCAATGCAGGAGTAGTTTAATCTACAGAAAACTAGATGCAGTTACTTTATTCTCCATGTGCACATCAAGACTATCTGACTTGTGATCCATCCACTCAGCAGACAACATGGATACAATTTTGAAAACTGAAGTTTTCAGGAAACATGAATATGAAAAATATGAAAATTCACCAACTGACATCAAGAACGTGAAAAACAACCCAAAGAATAGGAAAAAATATTTGTAAATCATATATCTGACAGAGGACTTGTACTGAGAATACATGAAGAACACTTACAACTCAGAAGGACAAATTGCCCAGTTAATAAATAGGCAAAGGATTTGAATAGATACTGCAAAGAAGACATACAAATGACCAATAAGCACATGAAAAAAAGACATTTTTAGTCATCAGGGAAATGCTAATAAAAAATACAAGATAGATACTTTTTTATATTCGTTAGGATGGCTAGAATGAAAAAGGAAGACAATAACAAATGTTGGAGGCAAGGACTTAGAGGAATTGGGGATAATAACAGCCTACTACATATGTCATTGAAAGGATGGAAATAGTACAACTTCAGGCACAGTGCAATCACTCAATACATGTTCCCTACTATTGTCTGTGCATGCAATATGCTACATTGTGTATGCTTATAAATGGAACCCACAAAACAGTATTGCTCATAGATGCCTGTATGTGTGTGTAAACTAAGGTGACCAGATCATCCAGGTGTTGGCGGGACAATCCTGATTTCTAACAATTTTTCCTGCATCCCGTGGCATTTTTAAAAGTCCCAATTTTTGGAAAGATTGAAAACATTGGAAAGATTCTTTCCAAAAATCGGGACTTTTTAAAAATACTGCGGGACATGGGAAAAATTGTTAGAAATCAGGACTGTCCCGCCAACACCTGGGTGATCTGGTCACCTTACTGTAAACATACATATAAACTTCTATCTATATGTATATACAGATTGGAAAGATACTCATTAGTTTCATGATGGAGATTATTACTAGAAAATGGAAGAAGCTAATGGCTTTGGGAGGTGGTGTATAGAATAGTACAATTAAAATTTTATAATGCCTCATTATTTTTAAATTAAAGACTCTTAAATAATACTTGGTAAATGTGAAGAGATAATTCCAGGTGATGGGAATATGGGTGCTGTGTTATTCTTGCTAGGGTTCTTTTTAAATTTTTTTCCTTAAAAATATGTAAAAAATACTACATATTCAAAAATCCACCAACTCACAGGCTCTTTGAAAAATGAATATGCTGATAAAAAGCAAGGACTTACAACCAACATTACTCTATCCAGCAAAGGAGAGATAAAGAGCTTCCCAAAGAAGAAAAAGCTTAGGGAGTTTATCACCACCAATCAATATTATAAGAAATGTTAAAGGGACTACTCCAATAAGAAGAAGAAAAAATATGAATAAGAAAATACTGTAAAGAAAAATATTTTTATTTTATATCAGAAAACACTAGACAAATATCAGAAAACACTAGAGCTAGTACACAGGTTAAAAGGCAAAAGTAGAAAGATCATGTATAATTCCAACAGTAAATTAAGAGATACAAAAAGACACACAAAAGAAGCAAAAATAAAAAATATAAATGGAAAGGGCATGAGTAAAAATGGTAGTGATTTTAGAATGTATTTGAACTTAAGTGATCATCAAGTTAAAATAGCTTTCTATATATGCAGCACATGGTAATCATAAACCAAAAATCTACAAGAAAGCCTATATAATAAAAGGATAATATGCAAATAGATTGACCAACTGAACAACCAGATAACCAATCTCTATGATGTGAGCTGACCACTGGGGGTGCACGTGGAACATGGTGGGTGTTGGTCAAGGTGAGATGGTGGAACAGGTAAGTGGGGATGTCAGACCAAGGTAGGGTGCCAGTTGCTGTCATTGGGGTGAGCCTCTGGTGGATACTGAAAATTTTTTACTCTGGTGTGCTGTGGTTCTGCCCTGGGTTTGCACCTGCTGCCAGTGCTGGCTCTGCTGCCGGTGCTTGGCACTGGTCCCTATCTCTTGGCGTTGTCAGTGAGTGCAAGCAGTGGCTGCTGGCTCTGATTGCCCCTGAAGGCTTCTCCACCTCCTCCTGCTCCTGAGGGGTGATTGGGCAGCAGCCACTGCTTGCACCCGCTGAAGGCACCGGTCCCTCTTACACCTGCTGCTGGTGCTGGCTCCAATTGCTCCATGTCATCAGCAGGTGTGGGTGGGGTCAGCGCCATCAACATGTGGGAGCAGCAGTGGCAGGAGTGGGGCTGTAGGCAGATAGGGGACCAGGGGCCATGGCAGTAGGGGCCAGGTGGGATCATGGAGAATGGGCCAAGACCCGCCCCTGTGCCCACCACAGCCTCATGGCCCACAGTTCATTTCAAGGTGCATGAATTCATGCACTTGGCCCCTAGTAAATAAAATAAATCCAAACACAACAAAGAAGTAATCAACATATAAGAAAGGAGAGCAAGAGAATAGAAAGAGAACTACAAAAACAATAAAAAACAATTAATAAAATGTCAATAACTACATGCCTATTAATAATTACTTTAAATGTAAATGGATTAAATGCTCCAACCAAACGATGAATGTATAAAGAAAAGGTGGTACATATATGTACAATGGAACATTACTTGGCCATAAAAAAGAATGAATCACAACATTTGTGATGACATGAATGGACCTAGAAGGTATTATGCTAGATGAAATATCAGACAAAGAAAGACAAATACCATATGATTTCATTTATATGTGGACTCTAAAAAACAAAATAAATGAACAAAGAAAAACAAAAACAAACTCACAGATATAGAGAACAAACTACTAGTTGCCAGATGTGACAGGATTGTGAGGATGGGAGAAAAAGATGAAGGGATTAAGAAGTACAAATTGGCAATTATAAAATCAGTCATGGGGGTGTAAAGTTCAGTTTAGGGAATATAGTCAATAATATTGCAATAACTACACATAGTGTCAGGTATGTGCAAAACTTACAGGGGGATCACTTTGTAAGTTATATAAATGTGTTACCGCTATATTCTGCACCTGAAACTAATACAATATTGAATGTCAACTGTAATTGAAATGTTTTTAAAAGAAAAAAAACAACCCTGCTTTTTCTTCAGGGAATTAAATAAAAATATCTTGCTCAACATTAATCAAATACTTGCTTAATATTGAAGAAGTGGCCAAGATCTTAGCTCTTTATTAGCTAATTTTACACAACAATTTACTTAAAACATTTGCTTAATCTAATCTAACCTCTCAGTCCACATGCTAAAGTTAGATACAATGAATTCAACATGCTGACTTGTGCACCAGGAAAGGAATATAAATGAGACAAAGATGAGCAATAATTTACAAAACCCATGAACTACATCTGCAAAGCTGCCCTGAGAACAGGCACTTCCCATCACTGACATAGGTCTGAGTATACACCACAATGCCTACTCAACTTTTCCATTTGCAGCAATAACCATGACTATCCCCCTAAAAAAGAAAAGAATGTACTAAAAGGAGCAAACTCAGGTCAGACTGCATTGGAGTCTCTGGCTATTAAAGGATTTGCAAACCACGACAATGGTGTTATGAGGCCACAGCTTGGAGCATCTACTCCTCTTGGCTTCTCTCCAGCAAGGATGGTTTTCAAAGAGAACACCTATTAGTGACCCTCAAATCCCAATTCCAACTGAGTGGTTTGGAATTACCATTTCTCTACCGGCCCCCTAACTTTTAGGGAACCTTTTCTAGTCACCTTTTGCTTTCATAATTCCTTTACACCTTTGAATTCTCGTCTCTTCTTTCAGAATTGATCTTCTACCACCCTCCTGCTCAGCATTGCCTTTTCCAGCTTTCGTATCTTTTGGAAGCACTACAACTTCCCTTCACATTGGCCAGGTAGAGGCACAGGGATGGGAGTCAACCTAAAGCCCTGTTTCCATTTTAAACCTTTTCCTTCTGGTCCTGGCTGTTGTGCAGGCCCCAGGCAGTTACCATACCCCCTTCCCAAGGCAATTCCGACCTTAGTGACCCCATCCTGCTCTTCTCTTAATATTTTCATTCAGCGACTATGTCTCCCTTTCACAGGACACTCTTGAAAATCACACTGATTAGAAGAAGGCAAAAGTTGGGGTAAGCAGTTTCAGCATCTGCTAAATTTGATTCTAATTCTAACTCTTCTAGTTATTAGAAGTCTTGGAGCAAATAATCAACTTCTTTAAATTTCAGTTTCCTTATCTATGAAATTGTGGTTAATATCAAACACAAGGTAACATCATTAAAATGTCCACACTACCCAAAACAATATAAAGACTCAATACAATCTCTGTTAAAATATCAATGGCATATTTCACAGACCTAGAACAAACGCCAAAAATGTATCTAAACTAATAAAAGCCTAGCTGGCCCACATGCCTTCACATCATCACAAGATGGCCACCCCTACATCATCACAAGATGGCCACAGAAGATGGCTACCCCACATCAACACAAGATGGCCACCCCATGCCATCACAAGATGGCTGTCTCATTCCGTCACAAGATGGCCATCCCCACATCATCACAAGATGGCAGCCACATGATGGCCATCCCCCATGTCAGCACAAGATGGTTGCCCCCACATTGCCATAAGATGGACACCACAAGATGGCTGGTGGTGGGGTGGTGGGGGAAGTGGGGTGACAGGGCCTGCAGGGACGGATAGTTGGGGGTGACTGTGCCTAA